ATAAGAGATAAAGAGGGGAAAGAGGAAAAAATAGGAAAATAATTTATTAACAGAAACTATATCTGCTATAGTTCCTACTTTTATAGTTGTTTATAGAATCTAAATTAAATAATCATAAATTCCTTGTTTCATTATCCATTACATTTTCCCTTTACCCTCTATCTGCCTGCACCTCCATTGGATGGAATCCTTTACCTGGTAAAGTTACTTAAACCCTCATTCCTAAGGAAATGGAGCATGTTTATTTTTTTTAATATATCTTTATTATTGAAAGTATTACAGATGTCCCCTTTTCCTCCATTTATCCCCTCTAGCCCACTTCTACCCTCTCCTCAGGCCTTCACAGCACTATTGTGTGTGTGTCCATGGGTTATGCATATATGCACATAAGTTCTTTGGTTAATCTCTCGCTCCCCGACCCCTTCCCTCTGAGATTTGTCAGTCTGTTGCATGCTTCCATGTCTCTAGATCTATTTTGTATGTTAGTTTATTTTGTTCATTAGATTCCACATATAAGTGAGATTGTGTAATACTTGTCTTTTCCTGACTGGCTTATTTCACTTAGCATAATACTCCCCATGCTGTCTTAAAGTGAAAGAGAGCCTTCTTTTTAACAGCTGCATAGTGTTCCATGCTGTAAATGTACCACTTTTTTTATCCTCTCAGTTACTGATGGGAACTTGGGCTGTTTCCAGATCTTAGCTCTTGTAAATAGTGCTGCAATGGATATAGGGATGCATATATTGGTGTTTCAAGTTTTTAGGATATATTCCTAGAAATGGAATTACTGGGTCAAATGGCAGTTCCATTTTTAATTTTTTTAGGAAACTCCATAGTGATTTCCATAGTGACTATATCAGTCTGCATTCCTACCAGCAGAGTACCCAGGTTCCCTTTTCTCCACATCCTCAAGTACTTGTCGTTTGCTGATTTGCTGATGATAGCCATTCTGGCAGGGGTGAGGTGATACCTCATTGTCGTTCTAATTTGCATCTCTCTAATGATTAGTTACTATGAGCATCTTTTTCTATCTCTTGGCCATCTGTATGTCCTCATTGGAGAAGTATTTATTTAGGACTTTTGCCAATTTTTGTTTGTTTATCTGTTTTTTAATTGATTTTTAGAAAGAGAGGAAGGGAGAGTGATAGAGAGATAGAAACATCAATGAGAGAGAAACATCATCAATTGGTTGCCTCCTGCATGCCCCCTACTGAGGATCAAGCCCCAAACCCAGGCATGTGCCCTGACCAGAAATCAAACCAATGACCTGTTTGTTTCTGAGTCAACACTGAACCACTGTGGCACACCAGCCTGGCATCCTTTGCCCATTTTTTAATTGTATTATTTGTCTTCCTTTTGTTAATTAATATCCGACAAAGGAAGCAAGAGCATACAGTAGAGTAAATACTGTCTTTTCAATAAATGGAAAATTGGACAGGTACATGGAAAAAAATGAAACTAGACCACCAACTTACATAACACACAAGAATAAACTCAAAATAGATAAAAGACTTAAACCTAAGTCATGAAACCATAAAAATCTTAGAAGAAATCATGGGCAGCAAAAATCTCGGACATCTCTCATAGCAATATGTTTGCAGAAATATCTCCTAGGGCAAAGGAAACTAAGGAGAAAATAAACAAATGGGACTACATCAAAATAAAAAGCTTCTGTACAGCAAAAAATTAAAAAATCAACAAAATGAAAAGGGATTTGCCAATGATACACCTGATAAGGGGTTAATTTCCAAAATGGAAATGGAGTTCTTGATGATCCTGTCTCTTTGGGATTGATGCAGTTTTCTGTTAGCGAGACTATCAAGCAAATTGACAAGACAATCCAGCAAATCCACCCGGTCCGGTTCTAGTCTATCTAGCCTCTTGGTGTAGCAGTAATGCAATTTCCTCTTAGAGATCCTGTCATCAGTCATCTCAGCCTTCTCTATCTGTTTTTCAAAAACAGGCATTCCTTGACAGGAGAGTACAGAGATAAACTTGCTGTAACTGTGATTGCCTCTGAGACAAGAGGACCTCAGTTCAGGGTCGATCTCTGCATTCTTCTCTTCTGATGGAAGTGTCTTCACTCAAATCTCAACGTCCTTTCAGAACAAGATCACCTGTCTATCTTTAATTCGCACATGCAGCACTGCATGCTAGTGAATACTACAGTGTAAGTGAAGGATCAGAAGAAAAACGAAAGGATTATTTTTCCTGCTAGTGCATTTGGTCTATACATAGCTCTCATTTCCCGGGCAGCCCAAGCTGAGTGCCACAGTAAGTCACACACACATTTTCTCTGACTCAACTCCCATCTATTCCAGTGCAGTTGCCTTCCCTCCCTGGACTATTGTTCTGACCTTGCTTCTGTTCTAACCCTACTCCCTGCCCCACAATCACATACAGCAGGCCTCCTCTCTATCCAATAGCCATAGTGATCTTTATAGAACATGAGTCATATCAAGTTTTTCCCATCCTCAAAACCCTCCAGCAGCTTCTCGTCAGCCCTAAATTATGGTTAGTGTCTCAGGGTGCTGTGTCTCACACAGCCTCCCAGGCTAGTCCTCTTTAATACCTGGATGTTGCCATCTGCTACTGGGAGAGGCGACACCCAAGACCTCCACCAATGGCAAGAATATGAGCAGTGCCGACAGTGCCAGCCAAATGCTAGCCATTGCCACTGATGCTTTAAAAAAAGAATGCTACAAGTGCTAATGATTGTGTCAAGACTCCCTTGCAGCTGCCCCACTAACTTTCACCTTCTGTGGAGAGACCTATGAGGAACTTGGACCATCTCACATCACTGCCAAATTTGTCACCAATGAAGACAAACTGATGAAGATCCTAGCACCTGATGCCTTATGCTCATTGGTATTCAGTATTTAAATCTCTGTTTTTCAGCCTCCTTGCCCTAGGATGGAAGTAGTCACAAATCCAATTTTAAGAGTAGTAGTCTTCCATTTATGTTTTTATTTCTAGAATATTGGTCAAAAACAAGTACAATATCAAATTTTGCTCAAGGCATTGCACTTAGACGCATTTGGCAGAAGAAAGAGTCTTAAAACCAACTTATCACAGGGTAATTTTATTTCTATCATCTCTGAAGTTTAGTTCTCGTACCTCTCAGCATTCAAAGGCCATGCCCAAAAATATTAGCTCCACTTTATCTACAAGTGAACCTACAATTGATACTGCTTACCAATTATCACCAGGCTTGACCTAATCCCACAAGAACTTGGCAAACAATTGGTGAATGAATTAAAGGATAAAACCAAGGTTCTTGAATTTTTGGAAAAGGAAACACTTTAGATAGCTGCCCACTAACTTTCACCTTCTGTGGAAAGACTTATAGATTCTTCAGTGCTGGCGTCCTTTGTTCATTCTTCTAGGTAATCCAACTTTTATCTCTACCTCTTTGCTCTCTTTTCTGTACAAAGTTTGAAGATGTGCAGCCTTCATGCTCTCTCTCTCTTCTGTGTGCTTCATAACATCTTGCTCCCCTTCTACACACAAGACTTGTCTGTGAGTGCTAAACTCCACTAGCAGATAGACTCCTCCAGCTCAGTAAGCTCCCCCTTTGCTTTATTTCCTGATTTACAGGAAAACTAGAGAGTGCCCCTCACAGGCTTGATCTAGAACTAAAGCAGTTCACCTACAGCAATAGAGGTTCCATCTATTTCTCCCCCAGTAGCATCACTCCTTTCTTTTATCTGCAAATCGCTAACAACACAGATGGGTTCATTTCCATTTCTTACCTTTTTATTTCAGAATCACATGCTGAATCAACATAATAAGTCTATATAGGCAATAGAGCAGAGATCCCAAAAACCAGATAGACTGAGCTCCATCAGGATCAACTACGTATAGTTACACAATGTTTTAAACATGGCTCTGATTCAGTTTTCTCATCTGTAAGATGGGGATAATGCTAATGGCCACCTCATTTGCTTAGACTCAAGAATAAAGTCTTTTATACGAAAACAGAAATTTTAAAGCTTTTACTCCATTTTGAGAGAATCAATTCTCACATGTTTAATAGGTTGCCACGTGGAAGAGTGGCTGTGCTTTTTTTACCCTGTCGCTCCAGAAGGCATAGGCAGAACAGGTGAATGCTGTTCAGAGAAAGCTCAACATGAAGAAAAATTGGTCGGCGCTGTCTGAAATGGAAAGGAAACCTTGAGAGGTATGAACTTACTGTCACTGGAGGAAAAAGCAGAGAGCAGGCTGCAGTAGAATGGATGACAAGAGAGTAGGACAAGATAAATTTTAAATTTTTTTTACATGAAGATCCCTTGGCCTTAATACAAAGGAAGAGTGGAAAGATGGAATGGTGGAAGAAAGCAGGAATATAAAGGAGAGCAAATGGCTCATTCAGCAAATGGGAATATGGTGGTGATGATGACGATGATGACAATAACGATGATCATATTAAAGAAAAAATCACAAAGCCACAAAACTTAAGATATCAAAGTATTTATTGAATTTAAATAAACATATCAGCGAGCCATAATTATTGTCATAAATATTAATATTAGTCTTATAATTAAGTAGCAATATCATGATTCTATAAATAAATCCATGTTAATAAAATGACATAAATAAAATGATATTTATAACAATAAATAAACTTATAAATATAAAGTCTTAATTTTGAAAAGAAAGTTATTTAAGTTGTTTTTTTCTCCCTAAAGGAATGGGAAGCAATTTTTTTGTAAGAATGGACCATTCAGCATTCAATTGCTTAAAAATGAATTTCTGTGTATAAAATGCCAACTACAATTAGCAATTAATCTCATTATGCTTGGAAGAGCTACCTTCTGGTCTTATGGACACAAGTGACATTGTTCTCTTTTTTAAACTAAGTAGGGGTTTGTATATTTACAAATCCTTGATTATAGAGTGTGACCTCCCATTTTCCTTTAGGTAAAAGAAGATCTTTGGGATCTTATTGTTATTTCCCACAGGCAAGAAGAGTTATTTTCCATTTTCCAGTTTTTCCGTGATCAAATGCAGGCTTCTTTCAGGAACATAAACAGCAAGTTTACTTCTCCAATTGCTTTGATCTTTCCACTCTCTCCAAGCTGTGAAAATAAGAAAACACAAGTATTTGAGTACTTTCACCATATTTTTAAGAGAGGGACAAATTAGAAGAAAGTGGCTTGGTTAGGTTGCTAGAAAAGAAACCAAGTTTTAGCCTTTGTAAAAAAATTAAAAATCAATCCCTTCAGCAATAATATAATATGACTTGCCAAAGCCCTTACAGTTATGGCTATCTGAACTGAGAGTGCACCAAGAGGTATCAATCTCTGTGGTACCTCATACTAATGAAGTTGTAAAACCACTTCCTAACCAGAGCAGCCAGATGGGAGCTATGACAGGGGACCCAGAGTGCCACCCATTAGGCCTTCCCTACCCCCATAGCCCTACAACTGTCTAAGACCAATAAATTATTTACAACAGTTGCCTTGAATCAAAACTATACATTAACCAATAAGCATGAGGTTTTCTGTTCTCACCTTCTTGCCAAAAGAAAAGAAACAGGTTTTCACTTTTGTGAAAGTATCAAATAAGTCCTATTCAGTTGCTTTTAATTAGTAGAAAGCCAAATACAGATTCTACCATTCTTTCTTTCTTCTTCTTCCAAGTAGTATATGAACGAGGCTTTCAAACCCAATGGAAGAGGGTCCAAATTCAAGTTCAAAGCACCCTCCTCTGAAATTCATCTGTCCTCTATACTTTGCTCTCCTTTCTCTTCCTGCTTTCTTCCACCTTTCCACTCTTCCTTTGTATTAAGGCCATGGGATATTTGTGAAAAAAAATTAGTTGTCCTTGTCCTACTGTCTTTTCATCCATTCTACTACAGCCTGCTCTCTGCTTTTACCTCCCAAGACTTCCCACCCTTTTCAGACAGCGCTGACCAATTTTTCTTCATGTTCAACAACATTCATCTGCTCTGCCTATGCCTTCTGGAGTGACAGGGTAAAAACAGCATAGCCACTTTTCCATGTGGCAACCTATTGCACATGTAAAAGTTGATTCTCTCAAAATAGAGAAAAGCTTTAAAATATCTGTTTTCTCACAGACCACCATCAGATTTCTCTCTCACACACTTCACTCTTCTAAAGACCACAGAGTAAACTGACATCAGAGATTTTTTCAAACCAGAAGGGCAAAGCACTTTTTGGCTATGGCATGCCAATACTCATCCCTACACATCTAGGTAAGACTGTAATTCTATGACAAGAGAATTGAGCTTCACAGTCAAAAACTACAAAGGCTACAACCATTATGTTCATTAAGTTATGCTCAGGAAGAAAGACTTTTTGTAAAAAAAAAAAAAAAATCAAGATGGAAAAAGAGGGGAATTGTCATTATGCTTGTTGCTGAAATTTTCATCCACTAGAGCCTTCATGTTTCTCAGGTTTAATTGTACCTGCTTACAAGAGCATCACTTTCGCTGCAACTAATCATTCTTCTGGTTTTGAGATTAGTCACAATTGGTAGTCTGAGCCTTCTACTGCTGTTCTTTTCCCCAAATAGGCCACATGATAGTATCATTCACTGTAGAAATATACACTAGCCTACACCAGATAGATGCTCACTGTCCATCTAAGGACTTATTGTGGTGGAGAAGAGGGTAGAAATGAAGGGAAAGGGACAGAGAAAGAAAAGATTTCCAATTCTAACTTCCATGTTACTATAATAAACCTACTACTAATATTTTTATTTATTTAAAACTATGTAAATATTGAGGGTTGCTTTTAAATTCAAATCAATAGCTATCAGGTATTATATTATGGTAACTAAATATAAGTATTAATCATTCCAGAAATTCAGCCTACATTCAAGTCAAGCTCTTTTGTTACAGTTGGTCTGGGTTTATTTCTCCAAGTTTTAAATCATCAAATTTAATGGCTTTAAAAATCACTTCAAATAAATATGCTCCCAGGCCCTTTTCTGTTTTGAACAAGTGATTTTTCAGATTACATGAACTACTAAGAATCTTACATTTCCCTAAGAATTAATAATACTAGAACTAATACCTATTGCTGCTGAAAGAGTGCTAGCCTGGATTGGATTCAAGAGAACTGCATTCTAGCCCAGGCTCTGCCACTGGTCATCCCCAGAGCATGGGTGATGAGATTAAACAACCTAACTTCCCATACAGTTCTAGAATTCTATGATTTGAAAAATTTGGCAAATGATTTAGAAATATAGACACACATCTATATCCATATATACCTAAATTATCAACCTAATGGTAGAAGAATCAAAAAAATCATAACTTGGGGGATAAAAGAAAGAAAGGAAAAATAAGAAAAACATTTGTCTCTCCTACTTAATGATTCAGCATTAATAGTTATTAGTAGTACCTCTTTCACTGTATCCTTCAGCTTTTGTACATTTCTGTGGATATGCTGGTCATCATTCTCAATGTGCTAGAAAATGAAAAGCAGAGTAATTATTTTAACATTGTTGTACTGATACTTTATGAATCTCAGCATCCCCAACTGAGGTATGTTACAATTCACCTGGAGTTAAAGTTCTTAGCATTTGTGCCCACAATGACCTAGATTTCACTAGTGACCTAAATTTTCTAAGCTTTTGAATTCCCTTGGACACCAAAATCCAGTCATTTCCCTTATTCACTTTTGGGAAATCTTACTGAGGTTTAAGTTTATGGAAAGAGTAGAGTGGTTTATGCAAATGTGGTCAAGATTAAAACCCTATCTGTACCCCATCAAAAATGCATGCTCAGAGCAAGACACAGACATAAAACATCATCTGTGAACAGTGGACCCCCCTCCATAGGTACTAGGTCCCTTTTGCTCTGCCCAATTCACTCAAAGTTTTTTCATAGTTTTAAATGTTCAGGGGCATAGAATTCACACACCTTTGATTTTATCACTTCCCATGACATCAACAGGGGAGGAGTCTTTGCCCACCCACCATGGAACATTAAACCTTCCCATTTCCCTCTTTCTCTCTTTACCATCCCTTCCCTTGATTAATTTCTATTTAGTGGATCCATTTCCACATCTAGGTGTTCAAAGACCTTTTGCATCTCACATAACCTGAGTTGTTTTTCCCGGGGACAAATGAGCCTTCTATGTACTTGTCTTTCAGACCCTATTCATTACCATAAACTCAAAATATCACTCAATTAAAGCAAATACTCTGTGATTCCAAATGACTCTTACAATGGTGTCACTGAGGCACCTCTTATTGCCAGGATAGAAGGAGGCAGTGGGGACTGGAGGGGAAAGGGCTCTAAATGAAAGGAGAGAAGGCAGGTGACTAGGAGTGGGTGAAATTAAGCTGAGAGAACTTACGCATTGGCTAAGCTTGTTGCTAAGCATTTCCAGGAAGGACACTGCATCCTTCATATAGGGCTTGAATCTATCAAGCTCAGGGAGCAGCACTTCTTCAAGGGTAAATTTCAGCACCTGCTTCATCACATTGCAGCGCTCATTCTCCTGCAGATAAAAGTAAGACAGCAGGGATCCTATTAGGTTCCATCCAGAAGATCCAAACCATCTTCACAACCACTCCAAGTAACCATGGATGGCACACTGCCCTGCTCATCACTACTATGACTTACATTGACTCCATGGTACAGTTTCTTTCCAATGAGGGAAACATCTGTGTTGTCATCTACCAAACTAACCTGGAAGAGAAGAAGAGACTAAGTGTTTGGACATTGAGGAGATAGAACAAAAGTCTGTAAGTAGAGATGTACTTTATCCCCTCTCCCAAGAGCAGCCCAATGAAGACTAAGGAAAGAATTCAGATTGTGCATGAGTTTAAAACAATGCAGAGGAGTCCAGAGAAAATCAATAGTCAGCTGGGCTCCTTTGGGGGTAAAACTCCATGTACATATTTTAAAGGCCAAAATGGAAGGTCTTCTGATAAAGCCCAATCTCCAAAGAGTGTAGGATGAGACAAAATAATCTCTGGTCTACTAGTAGAGACAAATGGTGGGTTCTTAAAGATCTTAGATGTGCTCTGCAGAAAAATGTAAGAACTATTTGGGTTCCAAGTAGGTAAGATATGAAAGAGAGAGATTTAGATGAGTACCTCCTCGGCCATCCGGAAGGTGCGATTGGTGAAATAGGGCTGCAGGAAGTCGGACTCATTAAGCTTGCAGTAAGACCTGATGGGCACAGCTGCTCCTCCCTGCACTGACAGGGCAATGAGAAGAAGGCAGCTGGTGGCCAGGGTCCCCATAAGGGAAAAGCTCACAGATTTCTGCAGGGTGGCCATTGAAGACAACTCTTACTCCAGCAATTGGCAAGTGGGAAGAAGAACCTGGTATCAAGAAAACAAGAACATAAAGGAAGATAATTAAGTGTCAAGAAGTAGCACAACAAATGAATCAATCATACTAAGTTTGCCTGAAACACTTACCTGCTTCAATGATTCTGCTTGTGATGGAAAGGTGGAAGCTGCTGCTTTTATAGCCCTTGGGACACCAATTTTTTTACTGTAAAAAAATATGACATCAGCAATTATCTAATTTCCAGTTTCATCTTCTGAGAACTACCTAACCACCATAGGACCCACAAAACGCCACCTCCGATCCTTCCCACCTTAATATGCAAGTGTTTCCCTAAAACGTCACTATTAGGTCCCAGACGGTGCTTTTACAGGTAAATCCTAGAATTTTCAAAACCTGACATAGTTTTCAAAGAAAACAATTGCTTTGTCTTTATAGAGTCCATGTTTCATATAATATTTATAGTAACTGAGTAAGCATTTTGGTCACGGACTCATTTTCCTTTCGAGCTTTATAGATTCTTATCTTGTTAGAGTTGATCAGAAATAATGACCTGTGTCCTATATCTTCTGCTTTAAAATGATGACATCTTGGAGATAATTCCATTTTTTAAAACACTTTTATCTTATTTTTAATATGCTAAATCCTGAAGAAGACTCACACTTTAAAAATAAAAGTGTTGGCTAATCTAAGCACTATTTTCCTCCCATTCTTTTTTCAAGTGATCATAACAATTATGATAGATGGAAATATATCTTAAATTTTTTTCATTGAATTAAAATTAATATCAATTTAACTTTGTAAATATTAATGTCGAACAATCTTATCACTATTATTCTTAACATGCAAGTATTTTAAAAATACAGTGATATAGTAGTTCATCTTGAAATTTTACCTGCACTCATTCTAAACAACACGCAAGTCTCAAAATAATGTTTCCAAAATCTTATAACAAATTTGTGTGTGTGTGTGTGTGTGTGTGTGTGTGTGTGTGTGTGTATGACTATCTGAAGAAGAGAATCTGGCAATATGTTGATTTTAAATTATTAAAACTACACTGACTTCTAAATGACACCTAAAATCTAAACTGGAAAATCTCCTAAGGGGTGGGAGCAGAGAGCAAGTGCACTGATCTATTGCTAGAAGAAGGAATGTGAATTTGAACAAATTAGTTCAATAGATTTTTCTCTTCACAACTACTGCAGATCAGGAGTGTTGAAGAACTGGAATAAGGAAAGTGAGTAACTGTAGAAACTTGAGCATTTTGTGAGATGGCACAGACCTAAGTGAGGAGCCACAGTGAAGGGTGAGAATAGCATGAAGATACAGCATTTGGAAAGATGACCTTAAGAGAACTATGCAAAAGGGAAGGGTAGGGAAGAGTAAATAAAAATTAGACTTGTTCCAAACATTTTCTTGGGGTTGTTCATGAGCCGGAAATTATGAAACTCTTCTTTATCCAATTTTTTCTTTTTATAAGATATGACCACTTTTTGTCTATATAATGATATTAGCACCAAAGTTAAGCGAGTCTATGTATTAAATAGGCTTTTGTTGGTTTGCCTGAGAACCTGAGAAGTATAATGAATTTTGTTCCCATGGAAAAATAAGTTGTGACATCATTGAATTATATGCTTTTGAAGGAAGAGTCTCTGTCTTTTTCAACTTTTTAACCTCCAACCTTGAAACAGTTTTATGCACATACACAGGAAGTACTCAGTGGGAACATATGAATGAATAAATAGTTCTGTGTAATTAAATAATTTACTAAATATCTGTGGGAACAAGCATAGAGGTAGTTTTGAGACTGCCATTATAGTAGCACGTCCAAAGTCGGGATTTGACCCAGTACTAGTTGCCAGCTTCAGTATTATTTCTGAACAGGGAATAGAATGTCTATTATTCACTGTATGGCCCCGGTGGACAACCATGAATGGAGTCCAAGATTTAGATTTTCGTGAACTTAACCAAAACCCACTAAAATGAAATCTGCTCTCTGGCTGTATATGGATTTGTAAATAGTTATACAAGGAGTCTCAAAAATATTTTTTATTAGGAGAGATTATGAATATAGAATAAAATTGCTCCTGTGGGGAAAAAAACAGCTGAAGACATAAGTGTGTTACATAACTTCAGATCATAATGGGTTTTCTCTTCAGTTGTTTCCTTATGAATTTTCAAGTCTTTCCCAGAAGCCAACACAGATAAAGGGCAAGCCCAGAGTCATGCCCCCGGGCCTCATACAGACTGTACCCAAGGTTGATCTTAGATACATGAAACAATTTACATAGTCAAATCCAAGAAGGACTAATCAGAATCACCAACCAGAAGGGAGGCTAGTCTGTCTCATTCATTATAATATCCCTAGCACCCTGGCGTCCAGAACAGTGCCCAGCATGGAGCAGATGATGAGTGAATATTCACTGACCACATGATAAAACTACGCTCCAACTTATTAGCAGATGCTTGGAAATCCACAATGCCTTCCTTTGAGCTGCACATCTCTCTAGAAAAAGTAGGACTTTCGGTATCCCAGGTAAAATATTCTTTATTCTTCATACTCCTCAGTACAACACATATGATCATTGTTCCACACAAGGTTCCTCTCTTTCTCTCTCTCTTTCTGTGTGTGTGTGTGTGTGTGTGTGTGTGCATATATGTGTGTGTGATTCTACCCTCATTATTTTCATTCCCTCCATACCAAACACCCACCACCATCTCTATGCCTGCCATAGGTTTCTGCTCTAATGCATTTGATATATATTTCTGAATATGTATGCATCCCTGGAAAACAGGATGTGGTTTAGTGCATGTAGGAAATTTTTTTTAGAGGAATGATTCTTTGTCTTAATTGTTCACTTAGCACTATGGTCTTGCAATATAACTACATTGCTATATGTAGCTCCTTTATCTAACATGGCATTCCATGGTGTGTATCGACATTTTACTTGTTTCCCCTTTGATGGGCACCTAAACCACTTCCAATTGCCAACTCTACCGGCATTGCTACACGAAGCAACCTCATGTAAGTCATTTTATTCTGCTTATTCCCACATTTTATTCTACTTTAAAAAAAATACCTTTGAAATGGTAACCCAGGAGTAGGTCCACTGGGTCACAGGGATAAGTTTATTCATTTTTACTAGGTACTGCCAGATTGCTGTTCAGAAAGGCAGCACAGATATATTCTCTCATAACAGTGAAGAAAGGTTCCTCTTTTCTTATGTCCCTACCCACACTTCATACTATGCAGATTTAATTGTGCCAGCTTTTGGAGGTATAAAATGGTATCTCATTGTTGTTTTAATTTACATTTTTCTCCATACACTTGTAGCCACTTAGGTTTCCCCTTCCATGAACATCAGTTGCCTATTGTTCCTAGTTGCCTTTGGTGTGTGTGAGTACCAAGTGGTCTTGGAGAATGAGACTACTGGGGTCCTCCTCTCCTGAATACGTGAAGAGCATGGTCTTTTTTTAAGGTCAGTGGAAAGGCGAGAGAGAGGTACACAGCAAAGAACAAAGCTGGAGACTAGGGTTTTCAAATACAAACTTTATTTACTTCCCAGTGCTGCTTGAAGATAACACGGGCAGTGCCCAAGAGGGCTGTGGTCTGTTGTTGCTTTGTCGTTGATGATTTATAAGAGTGCCCTGTATATTTTATAAATTACTCTTTTAGTTTGTAGGCATAACAAGCTCTTCTCCCAGTTGGTGTTCTATTGACTCTGTCTATATGTCCTTTGTTCAACAGAAAATTTAATTTGGATTAAAGACATTATTTTTCCTTTTTTATGGTTTGCACTTTTCAGAGCTTTGTGGGGAAAAATCTCTCTCCCTAGATCACAAAGTTGTTCTATCTTTTCTTTTACCTGCTCTGTGGTTTTGTCTTTCACAGCCAGGTCTTTAATTTCTTTTTGTACATGTTGGAAAGTAGGAAGTCAGTTTTATTTTCTCCACATAGAAATGAGCCAGTTTTTCCAACACAATTACTAAATAGTGAGTTCTTTATCATATGTGTTTCCTATAATAAGTAGTTATCTCTCTCTCTCTCTCTGAGCTCTCTCTTTTGTTGCATTGGTTCATTTACTTTTTTCTTACTATCCTTGAGCCAATTTTATAATATTGTTATTACTGAGGAGTGTCTTTATATCTGGGCAGGAAAGCCTACCCTCTTTGCTCTACTTTTTTCTGGGCTGCCTTAGCTATTCTTAGACTTTCATATAAATTCGTTAAAGTTCCTAGAAAAATGTAGAAACTTTAATTCAGCTATCATTTAGTTCAAATATTAATTTTAGGGGAATTAACATCTTTATAATATGAATTCATTCCACTCAAGAGCTTTTACTATCTCTCTACTACTTAAGATCTTCTTTTATATACTTTGATCATGTTTCGAATTTTTCTCCACTGAAGTCTTGTATATTATTTTTAAGTCCTAGTTACTTTATTGAAGAAGCAAGATATTAAGCTATTAGTAATCACTTTCAACTTGGTGTGTGTGAGTACCAAGTGGTCTTGGAGAATGAGACTACTGGGGTCCTCCTCTCCTGAATACGTGAAGAGCATGGTCTTTTTTTAAGGTCAGTGGAAAGGCGAGAGAGAGGTACACAGCAAAGAACAAAGCTGGAGACTAGGGTTTTCAAATACAAACTTTATTTACTTCCCAGTGCTGCTTGAAGATAACACGGGCAGTGCCCAAGAAAACTTTCTCCCATGGCTACCTCAATCTGCTAACACCTTGCCCACAAAGGCACTTGTTAACCATAGCCACCTCTCTCTTTTTCCTGAGGATTGAAACTTGTAAATCTGTACTATATGTCATCTTAAAGGGAAGACTCTACCACAGGAATGTGTCATAATATAAATGGTTATATTTTCCTCTCTACTAATAACAAGTAGTACTAAAATCAATTTCAATTATAGAAGAAAGCAATATTTATACAAATTCCTCACTGTTCTAATGCTTATAAACAGAATTTGACATTGGCTT